AGTAATCCAAAGAACAGAAAAAAATATTGGCTGAGGTGATGTTTTTCCAGTACCTGAACAGACTTTCCAAAATTAAGCTGTGCTGATTTTTTTTCTCTCTTTATTCACTCATATTAAAGCTTGTGCTGGAGTACTGTTTTGATGCAATTATACTAGTGCAAATTTCCATAATGTAAGCAAGTCCTAAATGATCTAAGTGATGACTAAAAGAGGGAAACAACAATAATCTGTGCAGGTGGAAGAGAAGCTGGTTAGCATGATTGTAGGAGGCATAACTACAAGAAATGGGATTTTATCTTGAAAAAGGGTATTTGGAATGAATCTCAAGATGAATAGCCTAATAGAAAACAGTGAGATCAATGCAGCTGCAGAATAGTCTCTTGCTAGAGGTAATAGAAAGCTATCTGGGAGGCATAAGCAACAAAAATTTCAGTAAAAAATACTCTCACTAGACTTTGCATTGAAGCCATCTGAAATGACAAGAGAAGACAGAAGTTTTCCTCTCACATATCTTTGTTTATGGCAATTTGGAATTTTGCTTTTTTGTTTTATTTTTGGCTGATAGTATAATCTTACTTTAAAATGGAGTTTGGGTTGCTTTTATTTTTTTCTCTTATTAGGGAACAAAAAGAGAAAAATCCAAAGTTTTCCAGTTTGGTAAAATATGCATTCCAATTAAAAAAAACAAAAACAAAACAAACCCAACCAAAACCAAAAAAATACATCCTCAGGGTAAAAATACTGCCTATTCCAGAGAGAGGCAAAAACATGTATTTCACACATTTTACAATAAACCAGACATTGGTCCATATTCAAAAAGCTGTGAAAGAGAACCTTTGAGCTTTGCCCTATGTTATTTCCCCTGTTTTTTTGTAGAAGCAGGTTGCCTGGCAGTACATCCGTTTAAGTTTTGTCACTAGTCTGGAGCACAGCTAAAAAAAAAATCTTGCTGTTGAACTTATTTATTTTCTTTCTTTTTTTTTTTTTTTCCACTTTTCTGTTTCCCTTTTGCCTCACTCAGCTTGTCTCGCTCACACTCACTTTGTCTCACTCAGTTTCATGCCAGTGCTCTGGGTTAGTCTCACCCAAATGTCCCTGCATCTTTAGCTTTAAATAAAGCTTCAGCAGCAGAGTGTCTATCTGAGGTGGAAAACATCACTGTGCCAGTGACCAGCCACTGCAATGAGGCCACAGGAGGGGAATGGACAGGATTTTCAGGGCTGTTGTGCGCTGTGTCTTTCACTGATCTATCAGCTGGATGCTCCGGCTGCTCTGTGCTCTGCCCCGGGCTCTGGGACGGCTGAGAGCTCTGCACTTTTCCAGGCAGTGCTGTCCTGCCCTGCCTGCCTCTCCTGGCAGCGGGCTCAGGGCTCACACAGCCCCAGGCACCACAGGGCATGAAGGACTCCTAGCAATGGCCACCTAAGGGACATATGGGCTTCACCTTGGTTTGGTTGGTTTTTTCTTCATTATTTTGTGCATTTTCTGTCTGAAAGACACACAGAGTGTCTCCGAATCCTTGTTTCCAAGTCCTGAGGGGGGACTGGCAATAGAATATACTGATTTTGGCAGAGGTGCCTCAAATGATCCTCCTCTCTTTTGCTTTCTCCCAGCCCACCATTCTTCCCCTCCTTTTTGTCCCCCTACAGCCATCTCTTTAATTATAAAGAAAAAAGAGAACAGGGGCAGTCATTTTGCCATCTAAATTCTTCAGGGTTTTGCTTGCCGCAGCTTTGGACTTATCTGCTGCATCACAGAAACCCTTTCAGTGTTTGACAGCAAGTTTAGAGCACTTGCAAAGAAAACAAAAGGCTATAAATCACTGTGGCCTAGACTTCTTGTGTCCCAAAAGGGAGATTTGTAAGTTTTTTCTTTTTTTTTTTTTAAAGTGCATCCAGAATTAAAATTCAGTGAGGCCCTTTCTTTCTTAGTTAGGAAAAACCACTTTGGTGGATTATGTCAAACTGGGTGCTGATTTTTTTTTGTTGTTGTTTTTGTAGTCATTGGCAACTTCTTATTTTTTGAAAGCAATTCAATAGAAAAAAGCCCTTCCTTGGAAAAAACCCAATTAAAAAGTTTCTTGAGCATCCTCTTGAAGTACATGAGTAATTACTCTGGTGTCAATACGGTTATACACATGCTTCAAATTGGAATTAAAGACCCTGAAGAGCTGCATCCAAAGTAAAGATAGATAAAAAACACAGTGAAGTTATTATCTTTCCGTCAGTTAAAGGAAGCTGCAAATCAAGCCAACAGTAGAGGTGCAATAACACTGTGCTTAGCCAAGAACAGCTGGCCTATCTCTGAGTCGGGCTTATTCCTGAGGGCTTAGCCCTCTGCTGATCACCATTGCCCAGCCCTGGTGGGAAAGCTGACCTGTGACCTTCCTGACTGAGAATCCTGCCTGCTTCTGGAGTGCTGGTATCAATGTTCCCAATCCCTGGAAGGCAGATGAGCTGAAGAAAGACCTGGGTTTAAGCCCATGTGACCTTCTGGGTATCCTGGCTGTCACCAAGTGTCCTCTGCAGCCTATTGCAGCAAGTTCTCCCCGTGCTAAACCAAATCCTCCCCTGGGGAATGCTCCTGCAGGGTCCTCCTGGGACCACATACACTCAGGCAATTCTTTCTGCCAGGTGGAAAAATACATGTATAAAACTATTTTTTTTTGGAAAATTCCTTTCTGCCAAAAGTTGGGTACAGCTCCTGCAACAGGCTCAACAAGGTGTGAGTATGCAAGAGAACAAGGACCTCTGAGATACAGTTTGATAAGGTCTCTAAAACAAGTCTCTAAACAAGGTGCTCTAACCCAAGGATGGAAGTGATCTGGTGGTAAAACTGATTTTTCTGGACAGCAGATTACTAAGGCCAAAGTCAAAGCCAGGAAGGCTAAAGGACTTCCTATCCAGAGGCAGCTCTTCAAGACTGTTATGCATAGTAGAAGCAAAGGAAAGGAAAACAATGCTTAAGAGAGACATATGGAATTATATTACTGTTTTACTTATAATTTAAAGTAAACTTTTTTGGGGGGAAAAAAAACCAAACCAAAACAAAAACAAAACCAAACCCAAGCAACAAATCTTTGTCCTACTAGTGAGTAACCTTTTCTAGGAAACAAGCTGAGACCTCAGAGCACTTCATGGTGAACCGTGATGACAAAAACCACCATAGACTCATGCTGGTGAGTCTTGAACAACACAGATACCCACAGCCCTGCATCCTCTTACACCACCATGAGAAACAAACATATCCTCAGCCAGCACAGCTATGCTGAGACATAAAGCCTGGTGCCTTCCTAGTCAGACCTTTGTGTCCCTTGATCCCTTTGCAGGTGTCACAGAAAGCCTCCCTGACAAAGGCAGCCCCTGCTTTAACACAGCTGCACGCATGCACCCCCAACTCTCCCCCAGCAAAGCCTGCAGAAAAAAAAAAAAAAAGCCAATGTGATGAAGCAAAAAGCATTTGGATATGGCAACATGTTTTGGTTTCAAGCTTCCAAGAGGCCTTTTCATAAGCAAGGAAAAGAGGTTTTTGAAGGGGGAAAATGCATTGACGGTTATTTTCATGTAGTCACATATAAAGGAGATTCTAAACTATGGAGGCTGTTTCCTGCACATGCACCTAATATGTTTATTGAAAGGTTTCTTAATCTCCTTTATGCTGTCTTCAGTGCAGCACCTCTTTCAAAGACATTTTGATCCCATTTCTGAACTCTCACTGGAAAGGATACTGCTCTGAAGACTGGAAAAATATGTTTTTCAAAGATATTTGGGATCCCACTGAAAAAATTAAAACACTCTGTTTTTCTTTGGGAAAGTTGAAGATAGGGATTTCCTGCCTACCTTAGATAAATCAAAGGAGGCCTGAATAAAAATCACAGAATCTTAGACATTACAGCTAAAATTACATTGAAAGGTCACCTAACCAATCTCTTTATCACTAATTCAGGAGTACAAATTGCTTAGGGCCTCCCTAGGTGCTGAGTTTATTGGGGAATCTCTGGTGTGGAACAGTTTTAACAATAGGGAGACTTCCTGTCTCTGTAAATAAACACATAGGGGTTTATATTTCTGTTTCTCAAAGAATTACCTAATGAAAGAGCCAGCCAGTGGTGGAAAATATTTCCGTTTTTGGAAACATCTTCATTTTTGTTATTGGTGATATGTTGAGATTCCAATGAGACAAGCTGTGGCTTCTGATATTTTTGGTGTTGTTACATGTATTAGAAGTTCCCTTGAAACATCCAGCTGGCTTCTTTCCAGCAATACATGGCACATGAGTCTAAAAACAAGACCCCAGGTCCTTACTCCAGCTAAGCTTCCTTGGCTTTTTTGAGTTTTATCTACACACAGGAGTTTAAAACAACTGACCAAGAAGTGAACACGGATCCTACTATTAATTTCTTGGGTTTGTGACGAAATAAATCCGGGGTTATTTGGTTGTCATAAGAGACATATTTACATTAAGTTATTATGCTGAGATGGAATTGGATACAGACTGTACCGCATGAAGAATGAAGAATGCTTTGAAACGTTTGCAACACAGAGCTATTGAGACAGACACTGTCCCAGTCCAGTCACCTGGGATTAAACCGCAGCCCAGTCCCACCTCTTAATTGCAGATTGTCTTCAAGCACCAGAAGTGCTCTCTTTCACTGAGCAGGGGGAGTCAGGACAGCTGCTGACTCTCCTCTAGTGACCAGAAACACTTTCTAGAGATGCAGGATGCCCCTGGGATGAGGAAGTTGTCTTATCCCTTGTTAAGCATCCTTCCACCTCTTTTTCTAAATAGACACACACACAAACAGTTCCTAGTTTATGCGTGGGTGCGTGTCTGAGCAGAGTGGCTCTAGCCAGAGTCAAAAAGGCAGAAAATAGAGAGTCACAGAGCTGAATCTCCTTGAGGGTCTACAACACAGAGAGACGCTACGGGTGTAGCTGACACCCCCTTCCCCATGCAGTTACCTGTGCTAGTGCTTTGTATCCAGTGGTTCCCACAACCCTTCAGTAGGGACGATTAGCATCCTTTGGCCTCTTCAGCTGCACCTTCAGCCTCTTCATGCCAATCTGGAATCCATTCATGGCCTGGATAGCAGCTTGGGCACTGGCAGGATTGTCAAAACTCACAAAACCTGTCAAAACATGAGGCAAGGCATGGGACTTAACGAGCTGAAGGGTGCCAAGGCACGTACATGCAACGACCACTGAGAATGAACATGGGGAAGGGGGTGAGGGCGCTCAGAGGGGGGCAGTGATCAGGAAGGAGAGTGGGCAGGTGGGCAGGAGAGTGAGGAGAGGATGATTGCCAATGTGGGACAAAGGATAGGAGGGGTTGTTACAAATCAGTGTCCCAGGACAGTGCCTGGTCTGAGTGCCAGTCTCAACACTAGGCTGTGTGGAGCACAGGGTTCCAAACGTTGGTGCCACAACACTTGGGTCACTTTCAGCTGGGAGTCAGCAGGTGCAATGCATGGTCTCAAGGCACTCTCTCTTCCTCTATCTCCCTCCACTGTGACTTGGGTAAATCTCTAAACCTTCCTTAACTTGCCATCATAGCCTTTCCTTTGCCTTCCAATACTAATGATGAGGGGAACCTGACACACCTACTGCTACTTCCTTATTAAGGCAATATAAGTAAAATGTGAATTTAATACAGTCTTCATTATTATATTAGCATGAATGGTTTGATTGCTGTCCAACCAAGCAATATGAAGAGCTTGAATCACTGGCAATTTCTGCAAACTCCATGTTACTCTGCATCTGAGAGATGAACACAAGTGTTTCCTAACATTGTTTTCCTATGGAATTTCAAATTTTGCCAGCAAATCTCCCAATCAACCACGGAGCACATCCAGCACTAGAAACAACTATAGTGACTGAATATTGTATGTATGCGTCACCTAAGACATTCTTTGTCTTTGTTTGCTCTCTAACAGTCTGATGAAATAGTATAGGTCAACCACACAGGATGCAATGCATCTAATGCATTCAGCTTTGGGGAGAGCTTTTGGTGTAGCTTTACTTTTTTTCTGTTTTTTCTTTTTTTTTTTTTTAAATTTATTTTTATTTTTAATTTTTTCTATGTTAGATCCAAAAAAAGGCCTGGTTTCCCCATGTTGTTTATGGCTGTAGCTGGAGCGACCACGGGTCTGAGATATTAGTGAGGCAGGGGGCCATCACATTGTACAAGCATTGCCTCTGCTACTTTTGCCAGAAATGTCCCTGTGTGCCAACAACATTTCTGAGCACAAACCTTGGGTGAGACTAGCCTGGACCAACCTGCTCTCCAGACAAAGCCATCTGTTCACCCTCCCCTGCAAGGCTCTGGCAGCACAAATCAATCCTAGGAGCCTGGTGTTGCTCAACAGACAGGCTGAAATGAAGAGACAGTTTTTGCAAGCCCCTCAAAAAGCTAATGCTGAGTGTTTGCTGCCAGGTATACACCTGCTCCTGACAGCAGAACCAGACCTGGCTTACAGCCTTGGGCTGTGCTGTGGATCCATTCTGCAGCCCTTCCTCCCTGGTCTAGTTCCTCCTCGCAATGAGTCTCACAGGTGACACAGGGTGTCTTGCATCTGACAAAGACACAGAGACGTGCACACAAAGGCACCTTCTCACCCCTGCACCAAGCTGTGCTCCCTGACCTCAGCTCATAATGTAACTTCATGACAGTTCATAGAAGCCATGGTCCTAGTCTCTCAAAGCGAGACAACAGGTTTGCTGAGTATGGCACATGGGGTTTTAAAAGAGAGGCCAATGGAATAAATAGAGAACATTCTTTGTCCTCCCCTCTTGAAGCCAAGGCTCCAAGTAAACTGTGTGTCCTCACAACTGTCCTCCTGCCAACCCCCTGGATGAGGAGGTTGCAACCCCGCAGCTCTGAACATGAACGGACAAAAGAGTACTCTCAAGCTCCACACCAATCATCAAAGAAAACTGGAGGACTATAGTGAGTAATGAGCTGTGGTTTTATTCAAAAGCAGTGGATCTCCTCTTGCCCTCATGTTTTAGGCAGTCAGTGCCTGGTGATGTTACCAGTTTGCACTTGACTACTTGAATAATCTATCAACAAAGACCTATGATTCACTCTCAGCAAGTGGATAAACTAAACACCTCCTGGTTTCACCCAAGTACGTTCAGACTTAAAATACTTCTGGAATCTCCCTTGGGGATGCCTTACTTGAGCTTCAACCTTAAATATGTTGTCTATATACCTCATATCCCTGAATATAGGATGTAGGGAAACCCATTTTTTTTAAAAAATCACATCTGGTTTGCTGATATTCCTGGCCAACACACATCAGTTACATCTAAAACAGTAAACTAAAGCTACTCCAGGGAAGTTCAGAGAAACTGGAGCCTAATCATCTGTAATGCTGAGGGTTTTTTGATTAATGTTTAACATCAAACAATTCCTGGACAAAGTGTGAGTTTTAGCACAGAAGACAGGCTTTGTTCAGTAGTTAACTTGGATGTATCCACGATGTTCTGAAGTTGAGAGAATTTAATAATTTGGGTGTAGGCCATTTTGTGCCAGCTGTCCCCAGTGCTAGGGAGAAGTGCCAGGTATGTTTACTTTACTGATATACACACAGCAATCCAATATCAAAGCTGAGTTGGCTGCAGCTGGATGGTTGTTTAGCTCATGCCTTCAGAGAACATACCTTGCCTGGGAACTTTGATTTCTACTCTTGCTACAGGTCCTTTTGGGATGTCCCTCCTCTTGCCTACATGTGCACATCCAGATTGTGCCTGCACATCTATCCTTTTTTGAACAAGACTCTTTAGGACCCTACAGGAGTCAGTGGAGATCCTGCCAATGCAGTTGGTGGAGGGTAGGGCAGGATTCTCTCTTTTATCAGGACACCCTTAGCTGTGCTCTAATGAATCACCGGTCAGGGAGCAGTGCTGGCTGCAGTGAAGGCAGGCACCCAGGTTAAATCAACCTCTGTTGTGGGATCCACCTGGTTCTATAAGTTAAGAGTGACATCTCAAGGTAAAATGTTAACTGTCTAAATGCCCAGGTGGGTCACTCCCCAAAGTGATGTTAATTGCTGAATCAAACCCCTCCAGAAATGCTGCCCACTATGACAGAAGCTTATTATTTCTCTACCTTTGCCAAGACTAGACCTTCGAGGGATGATAAGCCCTTGTGCTTGTATGCTAATAAAGTTGTGCCTCTGGAAGAACCTTGCTGTGAGATAAGCTCACAAAGATACACCAGTTTTTATCATCACTTTGCTTTTGAGATGGAATTCTTAACCCACTTCCTCATTCTGTGCAAAGCTGTAAATAATACAGCATTTTAACAAATGGGACTAATAAGAGAGATCAGAAGAGCATTTGCTCACTATATTTCATTTAGACCAGATAATGAAGCTGGGAGTTTTACTCTGATTCTGGTATTAGTTGCCTACAGATTTGGACCGGATTTTTTTCTCTTTAGTTGTTCTGGTATTCACTGATGCAATATAAAATTCTCCTCTGTCTGGATGCTGAGTGTAGAGGAACTGGGATTTGAAAGCTGGGGAAAGAGATGGACAAATGCCAATAACTGTGTATTTTCTTTGTGATCATATTCTAGGGACAGAGCAGCTAATTACTCTAGCTTCATTTCACTGTTTTAGTTTTCAGGGGCCTTGATATGCTCGGAAGTTGCTGGTGCATCCAAGTCTCCCCCTTTCCTATTATTTATGTGTAACTGTGTTTCACATTGTGGAAGGTATTTGGATGAACTCCAAAGAGAAGAAAAGCTATGGCTTATCCTGAGATTTGAGACTTTACAGTGGATAAGGGATAGGCAGAGAGACAGGAATGTTGGGCTAACAACAGCATATTCCTTTCTCTTCTCAGGTCAAATTCCTAATGGGAGATTTGACTTTTTTTGTTGCTGTTATGTGCAGTATTGGCAGTCAACAATCTTTGTTTCTCCTCATCTGTGTCAGCAGGATTCATAGTACTATGACAGATCTGAACACGTATGACTAGGAATAGAATGTATGTACTGGGTAAATAACTTAAATACTCAGTTAAATACTCAGTTCCTAAGTGGCTTTAGTATTTGAGCCTGTGGGCTCAAAACATGATGGCAGTATCACAGCTGCTATCTGTGTTTTGAACACCACCCCTGCATTGTCATCTACATGCTTGAAGGACGAAAGAGAAAGGGAGAGGTTAAAAACCTTGAAGCTTTTTCTGTGCATCAGTTAATTAATAATCAGAGAAATATATGTTCTGGTCTGAAGACAGTTGGTAGGAGGACAGCATTTTGTGATAAATCTACTTTATGGGGGGGATATTGGTGGGTTTTTTCTTTTTCCCTTTTTTTCCCCCCAGGGATTATGTAAAAATGCTGTTCTAATAAATGATTTATCAAAAGCGGCTGAGAATGGCGAAAGCTGCTAGGACAGCAAGAGAGGGCATCTAATCTTTCTGATTCTGCACAGCATCTTCCAGGAAAGGAACTGTTGTTGGAGCCCCCTACTTCTTCTGGCTTGCTCTTTTCCTACAGGACTGTGTTAACTATTAGTAGGCAAAAACTGGGGTACAATTTTGGAATTGCTTTATTTTCTCCCCCTTTCTTCCAGAGAAAGTTCTTGTGGTGTGACATGGGGAGGGAGCTTTGTCCCTTTCTCATTACATGATCAGCACGATCACCAATGGCTTTATGTAACAGATATTACCTAAAGGCTGTTTTTCTCTTTTAATCAGCCAGGATAATAAAGAAGGGAATTCACAGTCTCTGTCAGTGTACATCTGAAGACTGTTTTGTAACTGTAAACTTTTTGTTTATGGTCTGTGTTTTCTCTGTGTGTCCATGAATTCGTTTGTGCACTACGAGCAGTCCTGAATAGGAGCACAGTTATATTTCCATGGATCCTTAATTGGTCCTTCTGAGTTTCCTGGTTTGCTTTGCATCCAGCAAAGAGAATTAGTGGTTAATGAGCAAAGCAGCCTATTGATGATCTGTTACCAGGTTGGAATAGCAAGTTGTCTCTCTTGGGCAGGAGCTTTCCTCTGGATGGAGCCCAGCGCGTGGTAACTATGCTGAACTTCCTTTAAATCAGTCAAGAGCACGAATGAGGTCCAGATGCAAGATTTTCCTCCAGACTCCTGAACTGTGGGCAGCTGA